GAAAAGGGGGAAATCACCACAGATTCCACAGAAATTCAAACCATCATCAGAGAATATTACAAATAACTATATGCGCATAAGCTAGTAAACCTGGAAGAAATGGATAAATTCCTGGACTCCTGTGTCCTCCCAAGCCTAAACCAGGAGGAAGCTGAAATGATGAATAGACCAATAAGAAGGTCAGAAGTTGAGGCAGCAATTAAGAGCCTACCACACAAAAAAAGCCCAGGTCCAGATGGGTTCACAGCCGAATTCTACCAGACACACAAAAAGGAACTGTTACCATTCCTCTTGAAACTATTCCAAACAATCTGAAAAAAGAGGGAGTCCTTCCCAAATCATTGTATGAGACCAACATCATCCTGATACCAAAACCCGGCAGAGACTCAATAAGGAAAGAAAACTTTAGGCCAATATCCATGATGAACATAGACGCAAAAATCTTCAATAAAATACTGGCAAGCCGATTGCAACAGCACATCAAAAAGCTTATCCACCATAATCAAGTAGGATTCATCCTGGCGATGGAAGGCTGGTTCAACATACACAAGTCTATAAACGTAATTCACCACATAAACAGAACCAAAAACAAAAACCACGATTATCTCAATTGACGCAGAGAAGACCTTTGAAAAAATTCCACAGCCCTTTATGCTAAAAACCCTCAATAAACTTGGTATTGATGAACATATCTCAAAATAATAAAAGGTATTTACGACAAACCAACAGCCAGTATCATACTGAATGGACAAAAACTGGAGGCATTCCCTTTGAAATCCGGCGCTAGACAAGGATGCCCTCTCTCACCACTCCTATTCAATATAGTACTGGAAGTTCTAGCCAGAACAATGAGGCAAGAAAAAGAAATAAAGAGTATTCAAATAGGAAAGGAGGAAGCCAAATTGTCTCTATTTTCAGATGACATGATAGTATATCTAGAAGACCCCATTGTCTCAGCCCAAAATCTCCTGAAACTGATAGCAACTTCAGCAAAGTCTCAGGATACAAAATCAATGTGCAGAAATCACAGGCATTCCTATACACCAATAACAGACTTAAAGAGAGCCAAATCAAGAAAGAACTGCCACTCACAATTGCTACAAAGAGAATAAAATACCTAGGAATACAACTAACAAGGAACATAAAGGACCTCTTCAAGGAGAACTAGAAACCACTGCTGAATGAAATAAGAGAGGACACAAACAGATGGAGAAACATTCCATGTTCATGGTTAGGAAGAATCAATATCGTGAAAATGGCTATATTGCCCAAAGTAATTTACAGAATCAATGCTATTACCATCAAGCTACCAATGACCTTCTTCACAGAACTGGAAAAAACCACCTGAAACTTCATGTGAAACCAAAAGAGAGCACACATAGTCAAGTCAATTCTAAGTAAAAAGAACACAGCGGGAGGCATCACACTACCGGACTTTAAACTATACTACAAGGCTACAGTAATCAAAACAGCATGGTACTGGTACCAAAACAGAGATATAGACCAATGGAACAGAACAGAGGCATTGGAGGCAACACAACATATCTACAATCATACAATCTTTGATAAACCTGACAAAAACAAGCAATGGGGAAAGGATTCCCTGTTTAATAAATGGTGTTGGGAAAACTGGCTAGCTATTTGCAGAAAGCAGAAACTGGACCCCCCCCTGACACCTTATACTAAAATTAACTCCTGATGGGTTAAAGACTTGAACATAAGACCTGGCACCATAAAAACCCTAGAGGAAAATCTAGGCAAAACCATCCAGGACATAGGAGTAGGCAAGGACTTCATGAACAAAACACCAAAAGCATTGGCAACAAAAGCCAAAATAGACAAATGGGACCTAATGAAATTCCACAGCTTCTGCATGGAAAAAGAAACAGTCATTAGAGTGAATCGGCAACCAATAGAATGGGAAAAAATTTTTGCAGTTTACGCATCTGACAAAGGGCTGATATCCAGAATTTACAAACAACTCAAACAGATTTACAGGAACAAAACAAACAAGCCCATTCAAAAGTGGGCAAAGGATATGAACAGACATTATACAAAAGAAGACATATATGAGGCCAACAAACATATGAAAAAATGCTCATCATCACTGGTCATTAGAGAAATGCAAATCAAAACTATATTGAGATACCATCTCACGCCAGTTAGAATGATGATCATTAAAAAATCTGGAGATGACAGATGCTGGAGAGGATGTGGAGAAATAGGAACACTATTACACTGCTGGTGGGAGTGTAAATTAGTTCAACCATTGTGAAAGACAGTGTGGCGATTCCTCAAGGACCTAGAAATAGAAATTTCATTTGACCCATCAGTCCCATTACTGGGTACATATCCAAAGGACTATAAATCGTTCTACTATAAGGACACATGCACACAAATGTTCATTGCAGCACCATTTACAATAGCAAAGACCTGGAATCAAACCAAATGCCCATCGGTGATAGACTGGTCTGGGAAGATGTGGCACATATACACCATGGAATATTATGCAGCAATCAAAAACGATGAGTTCATGTCCTTTGTAGGGACATGGATGAACCCGGAGAACATCATTCTCAGCAAACTGACACAAGAACAGAAAATGAAATACCACATGTTGTCACTCATAGGTGGGTGTTGAACATTGAGAACACATGGACACAGGGAGGGGAGCACTAGACACTGGGGTCTGTTGGGGGGAATAGGGAGGGACAGTTGGGGGTGGGGAGCTGGGGAGAGATAGCATGGGGAGAAATGCCAGATATAGGTGAAGCGGAGGAAGGCAGCAAAGTACACTGCCACGTGTGTACCTATGCAACTATCTTGCATGTTCCTCACATGTACCCCAAATCCTAAAATGTAATAAAAAAAGAAAGGGAAAAAATTAAAAATAGCCTTCATTGGAGAACGATCCAAGATGGCTGATCGCTAACATCTCGGGATTGCAGCTCCCAGTGAAAGCGCAGAGAATGAGAGGACGCCACACTTTCAGACAAATTTTTGTCATTCATGGAGCAGAAGATTCCCAGTGGAGGAGCCCCATGAGTCACCAGCGCGACTCTTGTGGCCGGTGCAGTGGTTTTGCCGGCACCTCGGCGCGGCAGCTCTTGTTGCAGTGTAAACGGGACTGGTTCCCCTTCTGATCAATGTTTGGAGCCCCGGGAAGGCAGAGTTGCCTATTGTGGACTAAAGAAGGAAGCCAGACTGGAGCTTCCCAGGCAGAAAAGCACCATCAGTCTTAATGCCACTGTTTTGGCCAGTGCAGTGGGTTGCTCATATTTCGGCCCTGGGAATTAACAACTTGGACGTCCACTCAGAGACCTAATTTGAAAGTTGGTAATTACAAAGACGACAGGTGGATAAATTTACAGTGATGGGAAGAAACCAGCATAAAAAGGCTGAGAATACTCATAATCAGAACGCCTCTCCCTCTAAAGAGGATCACAGTTCCTCATCAACAAAGGAACAAGATTTGGTGGAGAACTAGTGCATCCCATTAATAGAATCAGGCTTCAGAAGATGGATAATAAGAAACTTCTGTGAGTTAAAAGAACATGTTGTAGCCCAAAGTAAAGAAACTAAGAACTTTGAAAAAAGGTTTGACGAAATCCTAATGAGAATAGACAACTTAGAGAGGAATATAAGTGAATTAATGGAACTGAAGAATACAATACAGGAACTCTGAGAAGTATACACAGGTTTAAACACTCTAATTGTTCAAGCAGAAGAGAGGATATTAGATGTCAAAGTCCAACTTAATGAAATAAAATGAGAAGACAAGATTAGAGAAAAAAGGATAAAAAGGAATGAGCAAAGTCTCCAAGAAATGTGGGACTATGTGAAAAGACCTAATTTACATTTGATAGGTGTATCTGAATGTGACGGAGAGAATGAATCCAAGCTGGAAAATATTCTTCAGGATATTATTCAGGAAAATTTTCCTAACCTAGCAAAGCAGGACAATATTCAACCCCAGGTAATACAGAGAACACCACAGAGATATTTCTCAAGAAGAGCAACCCCAAGGCACATAATTGTTAGATTCACCAGGGTTGAAACAAAGGAGAAAATACTAAGGGCAGCCAGAGAGACAGGTCAGGTTACCCACAAAGGGAAGCCTATCAGACTTATAGCAGATAGTCTACAAGAAGAGAGTGGGGGCCAATATTCAATATCCTTAAAGAACAGAACTTTCAGGCCAGAATTTCATATCCAGCCAAACTAAGCTTCACAACTGAAGGAAAAATAAAATCTTTTATGAAAAAGCAAGTACTCAGAGATTTTATTACCACCAGGCCTGCTTTACAAGAGCTTCTGAAAGAAGCATTACACATAGAAATAAACAACCAGTATTAGCCTTTCTAAAAATATATCAAAAAGTAAAGAACATCAACATAAAGAAGAATTTACATCAACAAATGGATAAAACAGCCAGTTAACATCAAATGGCAGTAACCCTAAATTTAAATCAACTAAATCCCCCAATCAAAAGATACAGCCAAAACCCAACGGCATGCTACTTCCAGACCCATTTCACATGCAAGGATACACAAAGACTCAAAACAAAGGGAAGGAGAAAGATTTACCAACCAAATGGAGAGCAAAAATAAATAAATAAATAAAAAGCAGGCATTGCAATTCTCATATCGGATAAAATAGATTTTTTTTTTTTTTTTTTTTTTTGGGATAGGAGTTGGCTTTATAGGTTTGGGGTAGGCAGTGGAAAGTTACAGAAGTTACAGTTCAGGGCGGTTTTTGCAAGCTGGGAGGGGGTCGTAGGGTCTGGAGTCATGAGATTGACCAAAGTTGGTTACAAAGTCCAATTGCCTTATCAGTTGAGGTGGAAATAAGGAACAATAGAAGAATGTCTCAAAGTCAATTAGGCCTGGCAGGAGTTACTCACTCTTCCGCTTTTTGTGGTGTTCCTTTTACTTCAGACTTTCTAGTTCCAGGAACTCATCTGGAGTGTATGTGCAGGTCACAGAGGTTACCATGCCATCCATGTCACAGTCAGTCAGCCTAAAATACCTTACAGATACCACAACAGGCAATTCAGAAAGTCTCTCTGCCTTCCCAGGAAGCCACCCCACTCCTGCACAAGTCACATCTTCAAGAGCCAATTCTAAGACTTCTTCCCTGGTCTGCTTGGTTACTACAATATTCAGCTCAGGAAATTCCCCCAAAAGCTCTACCTTCCACAGCCAAATGAAGTCTCTTCTCCACTTCAGGCAGTACCCATCATCCTAAAGTCCTAACTTCAATCAAGACAAGCACCATCTCCCTTCATTTCTTGTTTCCAGTCTCAACATCTAGGCCCTGCTTGTATTCCCCTCCCCCACCCAGAACCCCTAAACTGACCCAATTGGCAGGAAGTCCCATCTCTGGCCACTGCTAGGGCTGGCAGGGGGAGGGCCAGTGACACTGACCTCTAACCTCTGCCCCTGCAGGGACCCTGAAGTGGCTAATGGAGGAGAGCTGGTCCTGGGGGGCTCTGACCAGGCACACTACATCCCACCCCTCACCTTTGTGCCAGTCGAAGTCCCTGCCTACTGGCAGATCCACATGGAGCGGTGAGGGACTTAGTCTCCTGGGTCTGGAGCTGGAGGCTGGGGACCTGGACTCCTAGGAGCCTACCTCTACTGACTGCCTCCTCCCCTTTCAGTGTGAAGGTGGGCTCAGAGCTGACTCTCTGTGCCCAGGGCTGTAGTGCCATCCTGGATACGGGCACACCTGTCATCATAGGACCCGCTGAGGAGATCCGGGCCCTACATAAAGCCATTGGGGGAATCCCCTTGCTGGCAGGGGAGGTGAGGTTACAGTTTCTGGTGGGTGTGTCCTGGGGAAGATGGTGGCAATTTGGTGGCGAACACTGGGGCCTGAAGGTGGGAAGCAGGTAGCTAGGGTGTATCCAGGACAGAGGGGACTGGGCTCCTTCTTCCTTTTTTTTTTTTTTTGAGACAGAGTTTTGCTTTTGCTGCCCAGGCTGAAGTGCAATGGCATGATCTTGACTCACTGCAGCCTTTGCCTCCAGGTTTGAAGCGATTCTCCTGGCTCAGCCTCCCAAGTAGCTGGGATTACAGGTGCTCACCACCACGTCCAGCTAATTATTTTTGTATTTTTAGTAGAGACAGGTTTTCACCGTATCGGCCGAGCTGGCCTCGAACGCCTGACCTCAGGTGATCCACCCACCTCGGCCTCCCAAAGTGCTGGGATTACAGTCATGAGCCACCGCGCCCTGCCAAGGGACTGGGCTTCTTAAGTGACATGCTGGAGAGTGGTGGGAAGAAGCAAAGATACTTCCCAAGTGTCTATGCTGAGTGGCTCAGTGGATGGGGAAGCAGAGGTGGGAGTGGGGGTGGGTGGAAGATGATAATGCAGTTTTGTTTGGGACTAGATGAGAAGCCTAGGCAACAGAGTTGTCCACACACGGTGCTGAACGCCCAGGTGCTCCATATGTACATTACAGACAGGATTTGAGCAGAGCAGGAATCTCTCATCTTAACTTGTTCCTCTTCTTTCCCAGTACATCATCCGGTGCTCAAAAATCCCACAGCTCCCCGCAATCTCCCTCTTCCTTGGGGGGGTCTGGTTTAATCTCACGGCCCAGGATTACGTCATTCAGGTAGGTGTCCGTCACCATGACGCCGCAGTGATGTAATATGACTGGGATTGAGACGGTGGAGCTGGCAGTTAGTCATCACTAGGACAGAAGGGGCCACAGAATCATCTCTTGTCCCCGGGGTTGGGGGCGGAGGGAACACAGACTCCCAGGGAAATGGTGGTCCCTGAGGCCGCGACACCCAGTTGCCGCCTTGCCGCCATGCAGTTTGTTCAGGATGACTTCCGCTTCTGCTTGTCCGGCTTCCTGGGTTTCGACATCCCTTCGCCTCCAGGACCCATGTGGATCCTCGGCGACGTCTTCTTGGGGGCGTATGTGGCCGTCTTCGACCGCGGGGACATGAAGAGCGGCGCCCGAGTGGGCCTGGCGCGCGCGCGCGTGCGCGCGCACTCGCGGAGCTGACCGATAAAATAGATTTTAAAGCAACAAAGATATAGTGGTAAAAGGATCAATGCAACAATGAGCACTAACGATCCTAACACCCAGATACATAGAGACTTAGACTCCATGAGACAGAAAATTAATATGGATATCCAGGACTCGAACTCAGATCCGGAACAAGTAAACTTAATAAATATTTATAGAGCTCTCCACTTTAAATACACAAAATATACATTCTTGTCAATACCACATCACACCTACTCATAGGTTTAAATGAAATATTGATTGGCCATTATTAATACCCATTTTTTTTTAGAATAAAGCAACATTTCCATTCTCTCTCCCTCTTTTTGTTCCCCTTTCTTCCTCTCCTTCACTCCTTTTTTTTCTTTCCTTCTCTTAAAAAAAAAAAAAAAAAAAAAAGAAATCAACTTGTGGACCTCTAGATCCAGGTCGGCAATGTCTGTCTTACTGCCTGATTTCCTTCCTTTCTCCCTCTCCCTCCCTTCCTCCTTTCCTCCCTTCCTGCCTTCTTCCCTTCCTCCCTAAAAAAAAAAAAATAGCCTCAATTCAGAGAATTCCAGACCTAAACACTTCCTGGCTATGAAATATTTTCATGAATTAGGAGCCTACCCTGGTTCTAGCTTTCATCTACTTTATAGTGAGCCAGAAGTTAATTTTCTTTCATATTCAAAGGGCTACTTAATCATTGATTTGAATGTTGTTTCAACTAATTAACATTTTAAAGTAATGTAGTAAAATAAAAATATCAGAATTGTCTATATTTAATTGGCTTAGATTTAAACACTGTCACATGCACATTTCTCTCTGATGTCTAGTGGTCATTAGCATAGATAATATCTAGATACAGGAATTAGCATTTTAGAATGAAACTCTTACAGAAAAATGGACTGCTTGTATATAAACCAAGATTTCTCAGCTTGATGTTTCCTAAGGAATCCTTTTGTTATAGGGCATCTTCGAGTCTGAGATCAAAAATGTAAGAAGTAACATGTTAGTCACTTTTTTTTGTTTGTTTGTTATATATATATATATATATATATATATATTTATTGCATTTTAGGTTTTGGGGTACATGTGAAGAACATGCAAGATAGATGCATAGGTACACACATGGCAGTGTGATTTGCTGCCTTCCTCCCCTTAGTCACTTTTTATTTTACTCCCTTGACAGCTTCCTCGTAAGTATCTCCTGAAACTATTCCCTTTTCATCATCCTGCTGTACCTTAGTTCAGGCCTTTATGGAGTTATGCCTAAAATACTGCAACCATCTGCCAAATGACTAATGCATTTTTTAGGCCTGATTTTCTTGAGCCACCATTGTGCTCCAACTATTGTGGCCTCTAGTTGTAAGCATCTGTTGCTCCTCATACCTACCCTAGATCCTCTCTGCCGCTGTTATTCGGGATTCTGTGAGAGCACATTTACCCATTCAGAGGGATGTACAAACTTAGAGAATGAGACCATTAGCCCTCTCTGGTAACCATGGACCAATCCACATTGTTGTTAATGTAGATACTAACCTCGTCTTGACTTGAGTGGATTGTTCTAACTCACATTTTACATAGTTCCTCAGAAGGTTCCTACAGTGTTCTTGCTCAATTTATTTGTTGGTCTTTGCAAAAACCGAATAGATGTGGCATATAACAATAGCTGACTGTGAATGTAACCTTTTAGAAGCCCTAATCCCAAGTGCTGTCCTCATTGTAGAATCTTTACTGTAACAAATCGTAGACTATGGTACTTTGTATGCGGTGGTGCATCTAATGAATACATTTTTCTCAGTCCTCATAATTGAGAGAGTCAAAAGCATCTTGTGGCTGGGTGTAGTGGCTCACACCTGTTATCCTAGCACTTTGGGAGGCTGAGGTGGGTGGATCACCTGAAGTCAGGAGTTAGAGACCAGCCCAAACCCTATCTCTACTAAAAATACAAAAATTAGCTAGGTGTGGTGGCAGGCTCCTGTAATGCCAATTAGTCAAGACACTGAGGCAGGAGAATTGGTTGAATAAAGGAGGAGGAGGCTGCCGTGAGCCGAGATTGTGCCACTGTACTTCAGCTTGGGTGACAGAGTAAGACTTCATCTCAAACAACAAAAAAAGTATAATGTGTTTATATAAGAAAGATGGCAGTACACATTCACTGTCTTGCCCCCAAATTCCATCTCAATACAATCCTCAGGGATCTTGATCATTTAAAAATTCTGTGAAATATCATGTTACTTGGCTATATTCATAACATATAAATTGGATTTGCTGAGCAAGAAATAAAAAGTACTGTGGGTACATTAGTAACACCCATGCATTCTAGAGTCTGGGAGGTACACCCCATAAGAATTTAGGATTCAGTCCAAGGGGTGACTTTTTCAGATATCTAGATGTGTGTGCTTGGACAGTCTCTCTGAAGAAAAGGAAAAGTTGTTACATCTTGCATTTACTATCACTAAATATCACTAAGCAAGAGGCATAATATTTGATGGATTTGTTTGAATTCTGAAGGTAGCATATGCTGTGCTCGGGAACAATATTCTTACTCTTTTATTGGGTAATTCAGAGTGACATTAGTTTTGAGTGTGGCTTAGAGCAAGAGAGGCTCGTCAGCCAATCCAGGTTAGGATAAAAGTTGCACAGCAGTCCCAGTTGTGTAATCTGACAGAACAAACAGTGTTGAAGTGATCATAATGAATAAGGAAGTTGTGTGGTGAGTCACAACTTAGACCCTTAAGATTCTGGAGCAAGGCCATACCTTGCTGCAAAGAATGACTACTCGATATTTAAAAAGCTGCCCTTGACATCCTGCTGGGCCCTAGTGGATGGACTACCTGACCATGGAGCATCGAATGAGTATGAAATTGGAGTTGCTAATTATTACGTTGATAGTTCAAACCTACTGCATCATGAGATTGGTCATACAAGGGACACCTGTTCAATGCAAATATTACATTAAAGAATGAATACAAACTGGTTCTGAAGGCATAGAAAGTTGCATGACGAGTGGGCTGAACTCCATGTCACCTACTTCTGCTGTACCAATATCTCTTCTGCAACTGTCACCCGTGGGCTTATGTAGGATTCCCTATGTTTAACTAACAGGGCTACAAAAGTCTTGTTCACAGGTTGCTTGGATCTATATGTTGATGGTAGCTAAAAATCTACAGGTGCTAATCTGGCAACACACACAGCTAACTTTGAAGAACAGTAATGAAATGAAATCCTCCCAGGGAACTGAGCTGCCAGAGCTCACTTGGTTGTGCCCAGGAAAAAAGTGCCTGGAGATAGGGATACCACAGATGCCAGAACATTAGCAAGTGATTTGATTGCTTTGTCAAAGGTCTTGAAATAACTCAACTGGAAGATAATCCTTAAGAAAGTTTAGAGCAGAGGCTGGTGGATGGTCCGTGTGAATGAATACAAAGCACATAAATCTTTGTGTCTCACATTAATATGCACTAGAGAACACTTATCATGTAGGAGTATTCAACAATCAGATGAGTAAGACAGTAAGATGACTTGTGCTGTGAGTTTTAGCCAGCCTCTCTCCCGAGCCATTTTGGTGCTTGTACAATGACCTCATGAATGGAACAGTGACGGTGATGAAGGCCGTGAATGGGTCCAGCAGTGTCCAAGCTTTGCATTAGTAAATCCCCAATATGCCCATAAGAGAGACTGACACTGGGCCCCTTCGTATGGCATCTTTCTTTAAAGTTGATAATTCAACCACTGTTGAAGTCATCATCTTGTTTTCACCAAAATGTATGTGTATTTTGTATGAAGCAAGGTTTATTTTCCTTGCTTGAAGTGTCTCAGCAAGAAACACCATCTAGTGACTTACAAATACCTGATTTACTGATCTGGGATCCTGCATAGTATTGTCTCAGACCACGTTTGTGCTGAAGGAGATGCGACAATATGTGCAAAATCATGCGATTCAAATGATCAAACCGTATATTGCATGACCCCTAAACAGCTGACTTACTAAAATGATGGAATAATCTGTTAAGGGCTTAATTAAGATGCCAGGTCAAAGACAACCCCATATAGTGTTGGAATTGCAATATTCCATTGTGTTATGTTGCTTATATGGGGTTCTGTGTGCAGAACCTAAGGGTTATTGTGGGTTTTGGCCTTTCAACCATCGCTTCCAGTGACACAATTTCAGAATTTATCATGTGTCTTCCTACAATTTTAAACTCTTATGGATTGGAAATTCTGATTACTTATGGATGTGGTGGTTTCACAGAACCTGAAGCACGAATACTATTTTGTGACGGCAATAAGAGTTTCACTAAACCTGAATTTGTAACTGTCAGCTGAGATAAAGACAGAAGAAATTGATCCTGATTATCATGATGATCTAGAGCTGACTGCCACACAGTGAGCACAAAAAGGATTTTCTTTAGCTACTAGAGGATTCATTGGTGGTTTTTCTTTTTTGTGCCTTCATGCACACTGATAATTGTATATGGGTAATTGCAGTTACTCTACTCAAGAATAAAGCCATTGCAAGCTTCAGCTCCTTAAAGTGTTGGCAGACACAGATTCCATTTGTTTGGGAGAAAGTAAGGGAGGAGAGCAAGAGTTTCTCCCTGGTAATCCAGAGAATTCTTTTATATATTATCCAAGACTACAAAGGTGGGACCTCTGTGAGTCTGCAAGAACCATGGCATTACTGGGCTTGGGGTGCATTCTAATGCAGGTACAACTTCGAGCACAACACCCAAGCCTTTTTTTTTTTTAGATTAGAGAATTTTTTTATTCCATTTCTTAATGCAGATACAACTTACATCACAAGACCCAAGTCCTTTGGAAAGCCTTCTCAAGAAGGACAGGTACAAAAAAGCCCAAACTGCTAAGACTACAATTAATACCTCACTCTGCAATGCCAAAACAGCAAAAAATATTTGCAAACATCAAAACCATCCAGGAAAACATAATCTCACTAAACAAACTAAATAAGGTGCCAGGGACCAGTCCTTGAGAAACAGAGATATGTGACTTTT